ATTCATTCCGCCTGAAATTTGGAAACCGCATTCAGTACCGCTTGATATTCGCGCCAGAGGCTCCAATATGAACGTTTCAGAATGAATTGGGTGTCAATCTGAGGACAGTACACAGGATTCGGAAAGTGTTGGATGAGTCTAATGGCGATTACGAAGATGTTTGGAGTGATCACTAGTGTTTGCATTGTTATGCCTTCATTTATCTTCACACAGACTCAACACGAAGGCCTACATCAATGCCTTGAGGAGGTAGTGCTGCCCTGGGTCAAGAGAGAGGCTGCTGGAAGACCCTGTGTCTGGCAACAGGACACGCACCGTGCCACACAAGCAGGAGAATCCAGTCATGCTTTTCAGACCACATCACCCCTTACATCTGATTACCTAACCCTCCAGATTGCAACTCCCTTGATTATTATATGTGGGATGCAGTTGAGCGAGAGACCAACAAAATTCCTTGTAACAAAAAGATGAACTGAAGGCAAGGCTTATGGCAGCATTCATCAATTTAACAAGGAACAATCCAGAATAGTTGCAGGGGATTCTAAAGTCTTTTAGAATGCGTAGTTGATGCCAATAGCGATTTTATTGAATAAATTTACTCGTTAGTATTTCAAGATATTCTTTGGAGTAATTTTGGTAAATATATCTGCTAAAATGAGATGTCAGGGTCATTTTCGTTTTCGCGTAAATTAGACGACAATTTATCCACCGCATCCTGTATATATAAACTTTCTCTCGAATTTCCTGGCTCCTGAAGAACGTTTAGATATAAATTTCTTAATATCTGAATCCTTTCCACTTTCATAAGCCATTTTCAAATAGTTTTTTCTTTTTTTTTTTTTGCATGTCGGTTTCATCATCTCCAAATATAAATTATTTGCGTCTTCCCGTGTCAGTTCGTGTTATCGTTGTTTATCGTTCATTAAATATATTCAGCGTCTTTGTTCCTAAATTTGATAAAATTTTATTGATGTTGGGCTGCATTTTATGCATAATGCTTCGAATATTTGTAGTCGTTTTCTTTTACAGTTTATGTGATTTTTTTTTGTATCGGTTGTTGATAAGCGATTTAATTAAATTATTATTAAAGAAATTACACCTTATTAGGTGCGATAATGTATATCGCACCTAATATTATAATATATATATAATTTTACCACATATATAATTTTACCACATATATAACCATATAATAGACTTAGGAAACCAATAGCTTTAGAAAATTTAACCAAAAATAAAGACATTTCGGCATTGCCTCGGAAAAAAGAGGTGGCATTTTTCCCATCGATATGAATGTATACTATGATTAAAAAAGAAAACTTTTACCCCAGATAAAAAAAAATGAAAAAAATCGATAAAATAATTTGCGAGACGTAAAAATTCAACAAATGGATTAGAAAGTTAGTAATGAGAAGATGTGGTCAAAATTGATTGAATGTCACCCTGTCACACCAAGGCTTGCCAAAAACTCACACAGCAGTCATTTCAATTCAACCGATCATATATGTGATTTGACGTGCTGCCCATAAACTAGCAAAAACTATTGTAACAATTGGATCAATTACCCGTTCACCTATTAAAATATCCAGCGACGTTTTCGAAAGACTAAAACGGAGATCCGTGGCCAGTTTAGCCATCCCTGTACAGTAACGTAGCTATTAACAAATGCTTAAATCTCCTAAGCAAAAAAAATAAAAAAAAAAAAAACACCGAGAGATGAAAGTAAAAAAAAAACAATGAAAAAATGAGATAAATAAATGATTTGTCAATTAACAATCATTGTTATTTCCATTTCGATAAGGATTTTCATAGAAAAAAAAAATCAGATTATCGGTGGTGTCACCACTTATCGCATTTTTAAGCTTGTCTTTTTGCAATATTTCTATAAACTGGTTTTTTTCCCAATATTTGACCTAAACAATTATCATCTCCGGTATATGTATATGTGTATGTTTTTGTAAGAAATTAATGGATTTATCTTATAATCAGAGATTACTTCTGATTACTATGTCCGTTACATCTAAAGGTTGTGCGCGCTTGAGTAGGCACCTCTGTTTAGAAACAGTGACATCGTCTACCGGCCTGGGTATATCCAGAGTCTTTAATAAAGTGGATGTGCCTTCCGGTGTGGTTTCTCTTTCCGTAGACGAAAATAAACTATTTAATGGATAGAGAGGACCGCTTAAAAAAAACAAAAAAACAAAAAAAAAAAAAACATGTATCCACTAAATATAATGTATATATCAATAGAAAATAAACACATATACATTTAATCACAGACACATATACATACACGCACACGCAAACACACACACACACACACACATATATATATATATATATATATATATATATATATATATACAGCAAAAGAATCTAAAATTACATCATGTGCGAATAAATTTATTTAAACCAGCGCAAAGTACCCTGATGAATGGACTCTTGAGCTCTCATTGTGGATCAGTTTTAATATTTGATATTATTAGTACCCACCTGGATT